TTATTACAATTCCATTTTTTTTTTACTTAGAATTAGGTATTTTCATATATAATCTTCATTTTTTTTCATTTTGAAGGTCAAATCTTATGTCAAGTTAGTCACCTTCTTTGCTTCTCTAGCAATTCTTTGTTTTTATAATTGTAGTGAAATAATACACTTGTAATTGCAGGCAGATGAATGAATTTGAAGACTTTATACCAGCAGCCATCCATATATATATATGCATGGAAATAAAGAAGATAGAGCCAACTATGGTAGTAGGTAATGGTCAGTGTATAAATATGTATGCATTGATGTTGATAAATAAGAACAGATATTAGTTGAGCAATGGCTTTCAGATTGATATATATGTATGCTATGGGATAAAAATCAGAGCTCCGGCCAGAAGTTTTGAAACTTTTAAGGGATTTATTAGATGGATGTTTTTGCAGTTTGGAATAATAACAGCTCAAGTCGTCTATAAATTGATTTTTCAAATCTCTCATCTTTTTCTCCTTCAAACCCCACTTTTTCTTTCTCTCACTAATTTCTTGTTGATTACTTGGTGCTAATTACATTTTTCTTGTAGATTTAAGGATAAAATACAAGTTTAGTAGGCCTAGGTTGTCATTATTTTAAGTTATTTAGATAATTTATTCGAATTAAAATACGAATGTTTGGTATAAGTATGTATTCACTATATATATATATATATATAATTTTTTTCTCAAAATACAATATAAATTTAAACATCGACATTGTTCAATCGTTATATATATATATATATTTAACTAGTCTGTAGTGATTATAATGAGTAATATCTGTTTGAAATTCTTTCAATCAATCAAATTTTTTTATTTTTTTATTGATAATTTATTTTTATCTCTTAAAATTTTATAAATTTGTTTACCTAAAATTTTATAAATTATCTCTTAATATAAAAATTTTGTATTCGTCCCTAAATAAAACAGTCCACCATATCACAATTGATTATTAGTTTAATAAAATTATCAGTTACATATGGTATATGATTTTATCAAATAATTTTATCCAGCATTGATTCCGATAAAGTTTCCTAGAAGCGTATGCCTCAAATAGTGTCTATAGGAGACAGGACTAAAACAGTGGGGGATTTCAAATTGTAGTTTTTTATATTTTTAAAACGCTAGTCGGATTCATTTATGTTCACGAATAAATTCGTTTGAAAACTTGTTAGTTGACTCGTATATAAGTTGATTTATCAACTCATTTAGTGGCTTGTTTAGTTGATTTTTTTACTTTTACTTTGTTATATTTAAATATGAGTAAACCACACGGGTATCCACTCAACTATGGTCAAAATTATTTTGACCACCGATGTTTCAATTTTAATTAATTAGACCACCTAATTATTTAAATGCTTCAATAAAATTACTGACCGTTAACTTTTAAAGGTGGAGGTGACGTGACAGTTAAAATTTAACCGAGAGAATGATGTCTCAATTAATTTTCTGGTGTAATTACATATTTGGTCCTTGTTACTTACCCAAGATGTCAAATTGATCATAATTTTAATTAAATTCAATAAATTTAATTCTCTAATTAAATTGTGACAATTGTCAGTCTCTAATTGAACGGTTAAATTTATTTATAATTTATTTAATTCATTAAATTTTGTTTCCTCTAACTAGAGGATGACACGTGTCACCCTACAAGAAAACAAATTAAAGAAGTTGATATTTGGGGATATTGAAACAAGGTTCTTAGGCTGCTAAGCAAGTGAGCAACCACTAAAGCTAGGGTATTGAATGATTTATAGTTCACAACAGATAGTATATGTCTTGTATATAGATTTTTAAAATTTAATTTAAATTTATAACATTTTATATATCTTAATTTAAATCCATATCCTAAGTTTAAAAATATATATTCTATTTTCTATCTAACTTATTAAATATATTTTATTTTAATTTTAAAATATATTTTATTATTAACAACAAGTTGATCTAGTGGGATGAGACACTAGGTCCCTTAAGCAATGTCAGTGGTTCAAATCCTGGCGTTTGCGAATGGAGCAAAATGGGTTGGGAGGGTCGCCCTCGCCTCTGCAGTACCTGATCAGTCGGTCAATAGATCGGATACTAATGATTAATTCAAAAAAAATATTTTATTTTTTATCTTAACTTTAAAAGTATATTTTATTTTGTATTAACTTAAAAAATATATTTTTTATATCTTAACTTCATATATATATATATATATATATTATTCTTTTATTAACTTAACAAATATATTTTATTATTATTTTAACTTCAAATATATTTTTTATTCTTCTATTAACTTAAAAATAAATATTTTATTATTAACTTAAGTTAATAAAAGAATAAAATATATTGTTTGAAGATAAGTTAATAACAAAATATATTTTTAAAGTTAAGATAAGAATAAAATATATTTTTAAATAAAATTAAAATATATTTAATAAGTTAGATAGAAAGTAAAATATATATTTTAAAAATTAAGATATGAATATAAATTCAGATGTATAAGATGTTATGAATTTAAATTAAATTTTAAAAATTTGTATACAATATATAGTTTATGCTATAAAGCATAAACTATTCAATGCCCTAGCCTTAATGGTTACTCACTTGCTTAGCATACTAAAGCCCCTAAGTTCAATTCTCCCAAATCTCAACTTTTTTAAAAAAAAATTTCTTGTAGTCACCCTCTAGTCCGATCGAGTCGAGTCAAAAAAAAATTGAGATGACGAATCCTATTTTATAACTCGGAGTTGACTTGAATTTTTTTTTAGTCGAGTCAAGTCAAATTTTCAAGTTTATATTTAAAATTAATTATAAATATTTACAATACTATTACATTATTTGATTCCAATTTAAATGATATTTTATAACCATATACAATATATATATTTTTTCGTATTTTTTTCATATATGATTTACATATATCATACAATGTCGAGAGACTCGACTCAAACTTAAAAATTAATCTAAGAATTACTAAATTTTCGACTTATTCGAATTGTATTTTACAACTTGATTTGAACTTGAAATTTTTTTCGAGTCGAGTCGAGTTTTGCTCACCCCTACCCTTTGGTTGGAGGAAACAAAATTTAATGAATTAAATAAATTATAAATAAACTTAATTGTCCAATTAGAGACTGACACTTGTCATAATTTAATTAGAGGATTAAATTTATTGAATTTAATTAAAATTATGATTAAAATGACATATTGTGTAAGTAACAAGGACTAAATATGTAATTACACCAAAAAAATTAACCGAGACATCATTCTCTTGGTTAAATTTTAACTGTCACATCACCTCCACCATTAAAAGTTAACGACCAGTGGCTTGATTAAAGCATTTAAATCATTGGGTGGTCTTATTGATTAAATTGAAACATCGGTGATCAAAATGATTTTTAACCATAGTTGAGTGATCACCTGTGTAGTTTACCCTTTAAATATTTGGGACTAAATTGAATACGTTGTAAATTTTGGAGTTCAAATTGCAAAGTCTAAGAAGCTTGAGAACTAATGGTGTAAATTCACTATTTTGGCAAACATTTTTTTATTAGTCCGTGGTAAGTACTGAGACCTCAAGAAATAATAACAATTCATTTACCACAGAGATCGATTGGTTCACGAATATGTTTGTGAATATTAAACGAATATATTCACAAATATTAAACAAACATATTCACGAATGTTGAATAAACAAACACAAACACCTGAAAAAATAAACACCATTTCTATATTCACAAATATTAAACAAACATATTAGCGAATGTTGAATAAACAAACACAAACACCTTAAAAAAGAAACACCATTTCTATCTAAGCCATAAAAAACAATATTGTTAAGGTTAATTTTTGTACTTGAAAAGTTTAATTTAAGTTAGTGAAGTAAGGAATCTTTAATAATATAGAATTAAGGTATTATTAAACTTGAATTACTCTAAATCAATAGGGTTAAAAGTTTTGATTTTTGTTTAAATTTCTACAAATATTTTTAGAAACTAGTTCACCCCAATTGACGGATTTTAATTAATCGATTGAACTAACAACATCATCTTTGTATTATTTAAAAAAATTGATATTTTAAAAATATAAAATTAAAATCAATAAAATCAGGGTACATAAAAATAATGACAGAATTTGACAGTAATAAATATCATCTTTTTTGCCAACTTACCACGAGTCATGTTTCAAGTGCTCTCATGGTGGCTGCCCTATAAGCCCATCAAATTATGCAGCACCGGAGGGTAATTTGTATTGCAAGCATCACTTCTCCCAGCTTTTCAAAGAGAAAGGAAGCTACAATCATCTTATCAAGTCCGCATCGATTAAGCGGGCGGCTGCCTCCGTTCCAGAAGCTTGAATTCAAGTCACTCTTTACGCATTTGCTTCCTTGTGCAGTTGTGCTTGCCAGTGTGTTCTGTTCATGGATCCTCAGATTTATGTTAATGACTTCACATTCATCTGTGTATATGTTATGGTATTTGATTTATCTGTGGGATTGGGATATGCATTCCCCAAAGTTGTAAAATGACCCTTGCAGGTTGCAGTGCAATGATATTATATGTGTAGCTATGTCAATCTTTTTCATTTCTTTAAAACGTACTTGTTCAACTTTTCATCCGACATAATAAAAATCGGTGCGTGATATAATCTTACATAACTGTGTGTACGGTGTGGGATATAAAGCTGTACATATCTGGTATAGGACATCCAAGATTTTTAAGGTGCCGAGGAGAAAGACCAACATCAAGTTTATGTCAATCTTTTTCATTTCTTTAAAACGTACTTGTTCAACTTTTCATCCGACATGATAAAACATCGGTGCGTGATATAATCTTATATAACTGTGTATACGGTGTGGGATATAAAGCTGTACATATCTGGTATAGGACATCCAAGATTTTAAGGTGCCGAGGAGAAAGACCAACATCAAGTTTACTATCATAGATGGAACGGTGCTAATGAATATTATGTATAATTTGCTCAAACAATATAATGCTAAAAATGGTAAAACTCATGAGATTCCTTTCCATTAATTAATCAACACTGTAAATTGTAACAACAGATCGACGGTGTAGTAATACAAATTTTACAACCTCTTCTTTCTTTTGCCCTGAAGGAATAAAAAACATAAAAACAATATTCCTCTACAGCCCCAAGCTGGGAGGGATAGAGACGAATCAGTCACTTATTGGAGTTTCTAATTTCTGACTAAATCATGCAGCTGTTGCCAGTTCGAAAGAAAATGTGGTTTCCCAAGCTTCAAGGGTAAAGAAAGTATTGAACCCAAGGCATCATATGCTACAATACAGCCCTGGACGTACCTCTCTTCGAACATTGTTGCAGTCCTCACGATAAAGGAAACAAAATATACAACGATCACATACATATTACATATCTAGGATGTGTCATTTGCTTCGTTTCTTGGCTTCGCTGTAGAGTATAACCCCAAAGACAGTGAGTGCATAACCAAGCATTCCAGTAACGGAGACTGGGTTTCTAAAAATTAAAATTGAAACCACCACAGCCACTGCTCCTTTTGCGTTTCCTAGAACCTGAATGACAAAAGCATCCCAGTAACTCAAAAAAAATTAAGATCCCGTGCTAAGAATTTTCTTATTTGCTCTTTCTTATCAAGTATACTAATGCAACATCAACTTCATACCACAAGGTTTAAGAAGATGCACGATAAATGAAGCAAATTCCTAAAAGCCATTAAAATAGGGAGGGAGGGAGAGTTGGAGAGAAGGATTGAACAAGAGAAGGATTGAACAAGGATCACAGATATCATACCTGTAATGTCAGGGCGCTGGTGTGTTTCGTGACCAAAAAGTTGGTCAAATTCACAAAATATGCTAGAGCTGAGTTGAATATTAGATACCAAATGATCTTGGTGTCATCTCTAGCAAGGGCAAGTGTAATACCGACCACATTTTCTTCCATAATGAGCGTTGCAGGAAGTAAAAATACAACAGCTATTGGCGCCATGTAGAGAAGGAGGTTCATGGAATTCAGCTTCTCCCTAAAATAAAGTTAACAAGAATATGAAAATCATGCCATCAACCACCAAGCAGAAGCATAGGCATATAAAACATTCCTCACCCTTCAGAAGAAAGCAAAATTCCTTGTAAAACTGACTTTAGAGCTCTTGCAGCTGTAGCCGAAATGCACATGATAAAACCGAATAGATGGAAACTAGGTTCACCCTATGCTCAAATAAGAAAAATGGAAACTAACAATCAAAGTCGGATTAAGCAAATGAACTATAATATTGTGAATAATGCAGAACACAGTTTAAAAGTTATAAAGAGAAAGAAAAAAAATTCAAGGGTCTCTCAATCGAATAAAGAAGCAAAATTCCAGAATATAGCTTCTAAATGCCACAACCAGAACATACAATATGAGAACTGCAAGCATAAGGAGGAAAGATAAAGTTTGATGAATCATAAACAATAAGTTAATGATTTAATCATTGATAATCCACAAGTTGTGGTCATTATATTGAAAAATCTCCAAACTAAGCTAAAAACAACTGCAAAATCAGTAAGTTCCAAAGAGCAAGGTATGTAAGTTAAGACTCACAGTCCCTGCCTCAGAAACTAAATAGAGCGTAAAGCAAATACTTCAATTCATAATTCGAACTTCAACATACCGCAATCCTAGCTATTAATGGATTCTTTATGCTACAGGAGGCCGATGTAATCTAAATGAGACTTAAAATCCACTTCTTTAAAACTAGACAAATACTTTAAACCTCTCATCTCACATCAAAATAATCACATTGGCCATAATATCAAGGAGGAATGGCATCATATTCCCACACCATTTCCCTCTCTATTGTCCATTAAAACAACTAACAGGATTGAATTCTAAAATTTCCATTATCTAATAAAAAATATAGCTTAACAAAAATTAGAAGATCAACACAAGTTTGAACGAAATAAAGTACATAAATTTCCAAATTCCAATCAAATTTCCTAAAAAAAGGCTAAAATATAAAAATATAGAACTGAAAAAATTAGCAGATAAACAAACAGGCATAAAATTCAACAAACTGAAGCAAAACAAAATGCAGTTCCTTAAAAGCAGCTAAAATTTTCATTAACCAAAAGAAAGTAAACAAAATGCATACCCCACTGGCAATGATAACCCCGGTAACAACAGGGACAAGGGTAAGATAAGTAAGCCAAGCCTCCCTCTTCAGTGTCATCAAGTAGGCGAAGATCGCAGTAAAAAAAGGCGTCGTAGCCCCGACGGCCTGATTAAAACTAACCGGCAGGAATCTCAGAGAAATATTGCCGAACACAACTGATATACAAAAAACCAAACTCAAAGCCGAGATCTTGAGAAACTGAACCCTGGATCGAATGGTCTGCATTGGAACCATCTTCATCCAAGCAATTGCGATGTAGCTTAGCAAGGAACAAGCTGTCATGTGACACATGGTTAAGAAGATTGGGTATTTGAAACCATAATTGGTTAGTAAATACTTGTTCAACAGCAAGACACCAATGTTGGACGAGTACCATGATGCTACTAGCCCGATCGTGAACAATTTCGATGTGTTTTTCATGGTTCTTTTTGGGGTTTGAAGATCTGGGTATCTTTATCTGGAGGAAGAAAGAGCTGGGTTTGAATAAATGAACGAAATTGCTATTGTATGAAGATGGATCTGGGTGGACTTGTGGGAATTATGGGTTATTTTGGTGGGGGGAAAAGGATTATTCTGGGATGATTCCATGGATCTGATTCAAGTTTCTCATTACACGATCAAGGAATCCCAAAGACAAGAAAATTCAGAATTCTGACTTGGGAAAAAAGAGAAAAATCTTGTTTTGAGGAAGTCCAAAGTAGAAGGAAAAGAATGTGGCTGCTCTGCAAATTTCTCTGAGGCTAGAACTAGAAGAAGAGAGAAGAAGGATTTTTAAAGCTGGCAAGGTAAACGCATGTGTTTATTTATTGGGTAAAGTTCTCACTGGTCTAAGGAGCTCTCTTTTAATCTCGTCTCTTGCATAACCAATGAAGTTGTTGCTGCATATTTCTTTCAATATTCAACAGCATCTCTTAACATGAACATCCTTACCATTCGATCAATTAATGAATCTAAATCTCAACACATTTAATGATAATTAATCATCATATTAAATTTCTAAACTCTGCTTAGGAGAACCCTTGAAATTATTGTCTAGACTTCTGTTCATTTATTATTTTCATAATATAATATATACAAAATGTCGGTACGATATTTAAAAAAGAAAAAGAAAAGACAAATGTAAGTCAAAGTTGTTGCATAACAAGACATAATGCACCTCTCGTTGCCAGCCTAAGCTGCCACCAGTTTTTGTCTTTGTTGTAATTTGAGAGTTGCTTTACACCTGCCAACTGACCCGGCCCGAAAGGCCCAAACCATATTTGGGTCAGGCCTAGGCCGAGGGGAAGTCCCAATAATGGGTCTGGTCCATAATTATTGCCACTGCCCCCTAGAGATTTAGAGAATGTTTGTTTTCATGAAACAATGTTGAATGATTAACACATAAGTACATTCTGAATCATTCAGAGTCAGTTATCAAACAACATGTCACATTCAGAGTCAAACCATTCAGAGCCTCTGAATCATTCAGCATTTGAATCATTCCGCGCTTAATCATTCTGAAGTAAACAAACAACCCCTTAGTTAATGAACAAATAGGTACAAAATCCTTGATGGAAATATTCATATTCTTTTCTATCCGATTAATACATGATATTTTTGTTTTATTTTTCGAGAAATTACTTTAATCTTTGACATTGTTTTATTTATGTACATTTTCCTAAGTTTACTCCGAATTGGAATTCCTTTGTTATGCTTTTCTGAGTTTACCCATATGAGAATGTTATTTATGTTTGGATAAATCACAATAAAAGTATCTATGTTATTAGAAAATTTATAAAGGGTTCATATATTTTTTAAAAATAACATTCTTCTCATTCAATCAATGCATCATAATAATCGGGTTAATTAATTTTTTGTTGGGTAAATTACAACACAAATCACACTATTATTAGTAAGTTTACAAATGGGTCACCTTATTTCACAAAGTTGGAATCAAGTACACGTATTTTAGATTTCGATTCCCACACAGCATACGTTTGTTTCGTGAAGGGTTTATGTGGAACTCGGCTCCCTCGGTACATCCCTGCTTATAGCTCGAGCATTTGTATCATTCGGACACAAGGTTTCGAAAAGAAAACGTTCAGTTAAAATATGCTCATCTTTTTCAAAATCAAACCGAAGTTACAAGCTAGTTAAGATTAAATTAAAATATAATTCAGCTCAGTTCGAATAGGACTTATAGTTTTTTTCTAACTTATGAACCGAGAGCTGACAGAATACATTATATTAATATTATTACTCTGATCAAACCCGAATCGAACATTACATCCGAACCGGATTTCTGTAAATATTTTCGGGTATTTGTCTAAGCCCCTAGTAGCTAATCACACATCTGCAAATACATGATATTGTTTGGAATCCACGGCAATGAGCCTTAAAGCCGCAATTGTTGCTGCGACAGACATGATAGTAAAGATAACAACATTGGACCAATGCCAGAGCCTTTGTGACAGACTCAGTTTGTTCTTCTTTGCCACAAGATACATGTGGTTTGCCAGGATAAATGTTAGAGGAAACGTGCTCAACGCCCCGGTAAGGCTCTCGAAATCTCCGAGGAACGGGAGAAGAGCCGACACCAGTGTACCGATAACAAGGTACCCGCCTCTTGCCGCGATCCTGAAGGCCAAGTTGTTAAGTTTCAACGCGCTTCCTCTGATACCAAACTTGGTGTCCAAATACTCATAAGTCGGGCTCGCGAATATCTAACAGCGGGTAGCGGAGGAACACATTAGATTTGTGGAGCATTGCTGAAAGTGGTGGATGTTACAAACAAGTAAACAGACTTACATGCAAACAAATGATGGATTGCAGGAAGGCGGAGATGTTTGCAGCCGCCTTAATCCAAAGCGGACCGCTTACACTATTAAGCAAATATTGGGTGTTGCCGCTCCGTAAGCCCAGTAGCCTATAAAGGTAATGGCAAACATCGGTACAACTCCGACGGTGAACTGAAAGTACAAAGCTTTAAGCATGTTCTTCACCGCAGGCTCCCTAACTGTTGCCTGTTATCAGAAACAATGTGTCAGAAGCAGAGAAAGAAATAGGACCGAACGCAACATGGCTACAAATTCAACACTAATTCATGTTGTTAAAGGAAGAAGTTTCGACCTTTTTATTTCGAGGTATCCTGGCATACCTGTATTTCTGGTAACATTCCAGTATTGAATGCAAACACAAGATTTGCAGATGCTCCTATAGTTGTAAAAATTCTGCTACTTGATTTCCCATGTATGCTGTAATCTCGAGGAGGTGCATTGATTCCTAGAACAGCATCGGAATCGTTATCGTCATATAAATGCAGGAAAATATCAGCAGCACAAAAAGGAGTACATCAGGGTTCCAAATCAAACTCTGAAGAAAGTCACTGCTAATTTATTCATCAAGGTAAGCTAACAGGCTTATCGGAAAATCGAGCAAATTTCAATGTTGCAGGAGCTAAGCAATGCCAATTTATTCAATAGACAACAGGCAAGAATCTATTTGGTTTTCATGCATATGGTTGCTCAAAAACTTCTTTAAGGTTTAAACTTTGAGAGTCGACCGCAGTGTTCAGATACATAATCTAAAGCTCTAAAGTGATCAGCTTCAAGTTCAAGGTAGCTAACAACAAACACCCGAATGCCTTAGCTCATCAATCGAGCCAATATTCCCGATACTGGCGAGTGACAACCAAAAAAAGGTTAGCATTGCTTTAACCCTCTTGGAAAGTTCTCATTTTTTACAGAGGAAAAGAACTGATTTATTAAGGATTCTATTTGCAGTTTCATCTGCAGTTCGATCACCAGTCTGGGATTATTAAATGAAACTTTCCATGTGATAAGAAGAACAGCGCGAATATCGGATATGGGAACATACCATCTTTAGCTGCAAGCACACATGCCACGATGATATATATCAGGCCAAGAACTGTTGAACATCCCAACCATACTCTCAGAGCCGACAGATGCAGCGTCGATATGGCAAACAAAGCACAAGCAAACCCGGTTATCGCAATACAGTATGGAAGTTTCATGGTGTGCTCATAATTGAAAACGGCAAAGCAAGCCTGCATTTACATGTTCACATGTTAAAGATTTCAGGACTATGATTTCTATATGAACCTTCATGTAAATCGACAACCGAGTCCTTATTCATGGAGCGGGTAAGCATAGAAAAGGTCGGAAATGTCGAGATCTTCTTTGGGATATTCTGCAACCGTTTAGAACAACTATCTTCAACCCAAAATGTAGATTTGACAAGGGAAGTAAGGTGTCTTTAAACAATCTGGTCTTACCTTTAAAGCAGAACCACCCAGGATGAGAAATCCAATGTTAATCATAAACAGGTTGACATATTGCATTCCCCATGTAATAGTATAGGCTCTCCTACCTGTGTTCATCAAGCGTTAATAAAAACATAGAATTTACACATTAAGACCTTAATACTATATGAGATTCCGTGACTCCGTATTCGATTAACTTAAGCCTCGTACCGTATATCTGTGCTGCAAGATCTCTGTATCTGATATGCCGCTTTCCTCCATGTTCATGGAGCTTGGCAAGAATCATGTTGGCATTCAATGACAACACGGTGGCAAGCAGTAAACCGACTACGCCTCCGATCCAGCCGAGAGGAACCATGATTGTCCCGGAATATCCCAAGACAAATACACTGTTGACACCAGTGGTCAAAACAAAACCTGCCTGTAGCCATGAATCTGTAAAAAAAATTCTAATGATCTCAAATAGAAAATACTAACCCCAGGAGAATAATTCCTGTTTATGTCACTAATTTGGAATATTCCAGTCGGGGTGAAGCAACATCACAAAACCATGAAACTGCTTTTTCTCTATTTGTAAATCAAAAGCCATTGAAGAACTTGAAGTACAAACAGAAAAGAAAAACGAGAAAAAGAAACTGTTATGGCCATGAAAATGCCACAAAGAAAAAGATAAATTTTTGCAGCATCAAATACGAAAATATAATGATTTTGCACATGACACCGACACTGGAGATCCGAAATGAAACTACTCTTCAGTCTTCACTTTGCAGTTTGCAGAAAATAAGAAAAAAACAAGATCCCAGAATTCAAACAAAACAAATCTGTCATAACCAAAAAAAGAACATATAGTGAAACACGAACAGAAAACAAGAAGAAGAAATGAAAAAGAAGAATCGTTTAGATAGAAAATGTATATTTGTATGTACCAGTGCTAACAGCATGGGCAGTTTCAGGGACTTCAACATTTAACTTATAATCCTCAGCCTCATTTGTGGTTTCAGGTATCATGTTTGCCTCTCTCATGTTTCACCTCACCTCTTTCAATTCAACTCTTTGCTCTGCTTAGTATTATCTTCTTCAGATGTATATAATTTATAAAGGGCAGGGGCTACTGGATTTATAGAAGCCAAAAACATTTTTTTTATTTTCCAATTATTGAAAATCTGGGTTTTTCGGTTCCATTTTTTTTTTAATAAATTTCCAAAAGAATCAATGCTCTATATTTGGTGAGTGTCAGAATTGTGTAAGCAACTCCTTGTCCTCGGCCTTGGCCTGTTTTACTTCCATATAAAGCACACATTTCCATGTAAATAAAAAAGTTTACGGCAATTCCATCTTATTGGGACTTTAATAAAAAAGTTAATTTTTTTTTTAAATTCCAATCATTGATTTTCAGGTCAATTTTATTCTCTGGGATCAAAACTATCATAGAATTCAGGCCGTTTTGGTTCGTTATCTGGGGATCCTTGATCCCAGTGATCTTGATTACTGGATACAGCTCATGATCCAACAGTGGAAGAGTTGGCTTTGTGAGTTGATAACATGGAATCCGACTTTTACTGGTTTTTT